GCATTGTTATAAAATCGCCGAAAAGATCATACAAATTACAAATGATCATAAATGTACTGTACTGGAATGATTATAAAGGAAAGTTGTACATTTTTAGTACCTTCAGTTTATAACAATAGCTAATAACCGTACACCTATTGTTTAGGTAAGTTGACAAAATCTTAAAATTACAAAAGGTTATTAAAATTTCATTCATTCATTTATTATATGCTCAGCAACATAAGTATTAAGTGTAACTTTCTTCCTAGAACTGAAAAACAATTATAAGAAACTTAATATTGTTGAAATGATTCGACGAGAAAAACCGAACCCATCTTTGGTATCTAATTATAGTTGTCAATAATTGAATTGTTTCCTAAAAACTGAAAAATGGATTGAAATTCATTTGTTTTATAAGTACCTACAATATAAATCTCATTGTAAAGCGGCAAATAATACAAGTCGAACATTAAGAACGCGTTGTGAGCGTTCAACAATTGACAAAACACGTTCCGGCTGTTTAACAGTTACCAGAACGCGTTGCGAGCGTTTAAAAACAGCCAAAACGCGTTCTGTGCGTTTGAAGCCAGCCAGAACGCGATGTGGCCGTTTTTTTCGTCCACTGAGCGTTTTCGGACTTCGGGCCTAACATACATACAACTTACGCAGCTAATCAAAAAAAAGCAAAGAAACTAACGTACTACTACCAAAAGTTTATTGAAGCAAAATATATAATAAAGTTAATATATCTACAGTAAAGGAAAACCTACCTAATTAATTATTACTTATATATATAAAGGGAATTTACGATGGTGGGGGTCACTTGGAGAAGTGTCCAAAATCCTAGAGGGTGAACCTGATGTGCAACGCGTTCCCTACCTACGCTCAGCGCTTAGAATGATAGCAGCGTGTTTTCAAAGAAAAATAACTACCAATATTGCTCGTTACAAAGTACTGCGATGGAACATATTTTCGCATTATGGATTAGCTTCTTACCATTTTGACTACTCTTCTAGTTTCAAAGGCAAGCGTGGAAAGATCATTTTCTACTATGAAAAGGTTAAAAACTTTACCACGTAGCGTTAAGAGTGACGGCAGACTGAGTGCGCTTGCTATATTTCAGTTCATCGGGATATTGCTTCGATTCGGAGAAAGTTATGGACTGTTTGTCGAAAAAAAATTATAGCAATCTCATTATTATTATTATCGAGAAACTCTGAAGGATTGAACCCTATAATTTCATATTATGTTTAAAAAAAGATCTAATTTGTTATAATTATCCACCAATAAATATATGTATGTGCATTTTCATTTTTCTCCAGTATCTCAAATAAAATACCTTAAATACAAATACCAAATAACTTTATATTAAATACTTAGCAAATATGCCTAAAAGTTATTAATTTTTATTCGACGACACTTTGGTAACTTTAATTAAACGTAAAGACATACTAAGAACAATGTCATAGGCTGTTATGTTATATTTTTGATTCAATGCGCAGTAAAAATTGAAGTAAAGAATTGTTTGCTGAACTAATGACTGAAAATGTTTCAAAACTGCTTATTTTATGCGAACTATATTCAAATTAATGCGAATATTCAGAACAACCTTTAACAGATTATTGGTATTGAAACAATGTTGTTTAAATTAATTATAAATAGGATCGATTTTCCTCTGTCAAAACTTGCCATAAATTAGAGCAATGTTAGTGAAGCGAATTGTGATATTTTGATTATATTTCCTCAAAGAAATCTATTAAAAATGATAAAAAGTCTATTTTCCGATTTATGTAGTCATTATTTATCAAAGAAATGTGTTATTATATTTCTTATATATTGAATAAGCGCGCTAGCCTCGCTAAAGGATAATAGCCACAACCAGCCGTATGTCCAGACTCTTCTTAATTAAGTGACTACCATGCACCATGTAATATGTAAATAATAGAATTTTTAAGAAGTTTAAAAGAAAATTAATAGTTTATCTACATTCACTTATTTTTTTCTAAAAGCAAAACGGATCTCAATTATTTAAATTAAATAATTAATGTTTCATGGCCTTCATTGATAATATTGGCTCTTAAAAGTACAATATCAAAATTATGATCAGATCATAGACAATATATGTACTTTTACTATTTTCTTATATTATATACTTTCAAGGACTCTTTTTAATAATGAAGACAACATATTTGTTAATTTAGAATAAAAAAATGAATTGAATACCTTCGTTACCTATGTATATATATTTAATTTTTTAATTCCAGATGTGATAATAAGTTTTATTATGGTCTTGACTGTAGTTTGGTTTCCAACTATAAATTCTACCTATCTTTTGAAAATTCCAATTGCAATGAATATATTACAGAAAAAGTTTGGTGGCAAGCATACCACAAAGAGAATATTCCTATTGTGATGGGCTCTTCCAAAGATACTTATAAGAGACTGTTACCTCCAGAATCGTACTTGAATGTAGAAGATTTTGCTTCTCCAAAAGCTTTAGCTGACTATGTGCTGTATCTTAATAGAACACCTTCAGTGTTAAAAAACTTCTTCAATTGGAAACGAAAGTTTAAAGTAGTTAACGAACATGGCTATTTTGCAACCGATTCTTACCACTACTGTAGAGCTTGTGAAGCTTTAAATTATAATGAGAAAAATTACAAAAGTTATAACGATCTTGATATATTTTGGAGCACAAATGACTGCCACCCCAGATGGGATAGTTAAGATAAAATTCTGATGGTCAATTTTTTATACATCCTTATTATGTAGGTACAAATGGTATTTATTAAAAAATGTAAATTTGGGTTTATTTTCTTAGAGTGGACGTATTCCTAAATGGACGTTACTTCCTTAAGAATGGCCGTATTTGGATGTTCTGAGGTCTAAATTATTATTTTACGACACCATTAAATTACAATTTATCTCCAACTTACAACTTTTTGGAAACAAAAATTAAAGCGTTTTATTTAGAGAAGTGACTAAAAGAGTGGAGAAGAAATTATTTCTATTACAAATTGAAGAAACAACTCAAGTAAAGACAATAATTTTCATTAGAAAAAGTCGCATGCATTTACCTCTTTTAACTTTCCCTTGGAAAACTATGTTAAAAATTGATAGAACTATTTTTGTAGTGATGGTAAAGCAAAATACGGCGATTCTGAATGATGATTTATTTCTTTATAACTGCTACTTGCATTGCTCCCTTGTCCTATTCATTAATGATTGCATTTAATAATAAAATCATTTAGTATCTTGATAATGTTTTAAAACTATGTACCCACTATCTAAGAATTGTTGATTGTCTAACGCATTAAGGGTTGCTATCCTGTAATCAATATTCAGTAGCTATTTGGATAATGAGCGGAGTATATTGCTTTGTAACCACTAATTAAATTATTCGAAAATTATGTGAATAAAATATGAGTGCAACCACATCCAGCACCTAACATAGAGAATGCCGATATCACTTTACACCTCCTTATCATGAAAACGACAAGAACAACTGCTGGTTAATTCATTTTTTCGGTAGCGTAGTTCTTTATGCCCTGTGGGGATTCCCACAGGAGTTCTGGCTTTTTTTCTTGTTGAGGATAAGAATTTGTACTCTGTACGTAGTTTATAGGGGAGATGAAGGCCTTTGCTTGCCTACATCCTGGTTATGTTTCCCAGTCTCTGTAAAGTTCTGAATCAATTTCTTGCTTGACAAGGTTACCACCAAACATATTCTAGTTGGGCACCCGCTTTCGCAAACTCGTCTATGGGCTCAGTTTTCTTTATGCCGCTGTGAATCAGGACCTACAATAAAATCACCTCTGTTAACGACTTGTATGATTGTTTAACAGCTTCGAATTTGTTGAATAGCTATCCTTAAAAGGTATTTAAATCATCTTTGCAATCAGTGCATTTGTAAACGCGCCCGATAAAGTAGTCAGCACCTCCCCCAACGAGTAAGAGTCATTTATTACTTCCGTATAAAGAGGAGTAGCAAACTGACTCAAAGGTAGTAAATACCTACTCTCACTTCGGCGGTTGTAAATGTCACTTTCACACTTCTTCGTGTTCCTTGGATCACTTAGGCAAATACTGAGGCAGTAATTTTCCACAGATAATCTTTCATTCTCCTCTGTCTTCATTTCGTCCGTCTCATCTTTCTCACCCGAACCACCACCTACCCATTCCCACGATTCCTGAAAGCAGGCTGGAGAGGGCTTTCCGCCCTACCGTCCGGCGTAGTCCGGAGGGACTGCCCGCCCTCCAGCACTAGTGGCTGGAGGGAATGAAACACCCAAAAGTTTTTTTTTTTCGTGTTCGTATAACCATCGGCCACCGTCACACTGAATGAAGGACCAGTCCTCTTTAGGGTGGAGGCAGATCTTTTTTTTAACGAATGGAAAGAGAGTCTTTGTACGGTAATGGGGTATCTTAAGGATACTTCCCGTTATAATGTCTTTGGAGAACTCAATGAGGTCCACCTTAGGCTCTTCTTTGTGAATGTTTTTGATCTGGTAAAGAGCCTTTGTTGCAGTCACATAAAGGGTTCATTGTCAAGAACCACTGTAGAGGTAAGTCTCACCGGCCAAGCAATAAGGGCAGGTTATATCCCACCTGAAATTCCTTTTGAACTCAACGATTTCTTGCTTCAACGGATTAATAGAAAATCCAGTCTGCCCAACAACTATCTACAAGGGTAATCACCGTTGAAACGATAGATGTTCATTTAGTGACCTGAATGAATCCATTGCCCAACATAATCCAATCCATCCAATAATTAATGGGAGCATTTGAAATCTGTTTAGGGCACTTTTGATTACTCTTCTCGAAGTGTGGTTGATAGCTTTTTCAATGTCCATGAACAGCTCCATGACATATTATTTGGCCTCCAACTGTTTGTGCTTAGGATAACAGCACACGAAACAAGAATAGAAAAGGTTAAAGATAAAGCCAAGTTATGATTCATGTTGACTCTTTTGCTGATAAGTAATGTCTGAATTCGTTGGCGATATTTGCTGATTCAGATGATGCGTATGAATTTCAAAAATTAGACTTTGTTTACGATACAACACCACGTGGTTGTATTCTTCAGAATTCTAAGACGCAAAAGTTCCAGAATCAAGCTATTATCTCCGATTTGATGGAGGTTACCTTCCTGCCCTCCCATAGCTGAAGTTTTCTAGCCCTTAAGCCATGCTTGTGCACATGGTGTTGCACGCAAATTTTGCTTGTATTTTCACGTAGTATTTACTGTTTTAAAATTTTCGTTTAGGTATTTTTTGTAAGAGCTTCGAACTCTAGATTACCTTCTCTAACTTACGAAGCTGCGAAACGATCGCTTACCTGTACATTATCCAAAATAAGGTAACTCGTTTTCATCCTGAAATATTTCATCATCGTCATCATTTTTTCTTTCATGCGATATATTTCTATGTAAAATTCTAGGGTGAAAATGAAAATGAAACATGCCTTATTGCAAGTTGTACTAAGTTGAACTATAAGTACTTAAGTTAGATTCCTGACCGTTACTATTAAATTATATAGTTTTTTCCAGGTGGTGGTCAATTAATTACACAACTATATGTTTTTTGTAACGTTTCGTTTTATTTAACCATCTTCAGATTAAAAAAAAATTGTTTTTTACTTATAGTTCTACTAGTTAGGTGTACATTTGTTTGTAAAATATAAATATAATTAATAGTCAAAAATGTATATATGTACAGCAATATAGTTTAGAAAACATAAATAAAACAAAAACAGCATTATCAGAACATGCAGTAAATAACCTGCATAATTTCAATTTCAAAGAACCTGAAATTTTGGACCGGGAAAAAACGTATTATCAAAGAAATGNATGCAGTAAATAACCTGCATAATTTCAATTTCAAAGAACCTGAAATTTTGGACCGGCAAAAAACGTATTATCAAAGAAATGATACACATAAAAAAAACACCCAAACTCTGTAAACTTCAGAACTAATACAGATAATTAATAGATAAATATTTATAACTAATAACATAAACTATATTATAAGATTTCAACTGTATATACAGGAAAACTCAAAAATGTAAATGAATGGTCAAAGATCATAAACCAGATGGAGGTTTACATGCTTTACCTAAACATTCAGAACTAGTATGCAGTTGTTCAACATGATAGAAAGTTTTAAAAGTCTCTATAGTCATGGCATGTAGCCTAATTTTTTTTTTTGTGGTTCTTATTATATTCCATAAATGTCCGGTAAGTTCGGTTACACCATAGATCTAAAAACCGCAAGACTCCGTACCTTTTGCGCAGGCGCGAAATTGACTCTTGTCAAGAATGTCTATGAGAATCGCCTTACCGCCCTTTTTCATATTTTGAAATCGTTCTAACCTCTAACTACATTTTTAACCGTTAATTGAATTCATGGTTAATCGTGTATGCTGATTTATTTCATTCGTTTTTGGATTTCCTTCACCTGCAGAATTGTGCACATGCAACAGTGTTTAATCTATGCATTAAACAAAGACTCATAATCATTGTTTAAAAAGCCAATTTATTCTGCTTTCTTAAAACAATTACTTATTTTTGTGTTTAGTTTATAAGTGGTGCTGGTGTAAATAGTGTCGAACAATTTAATGTATTTCTTTATATTATTAGGCAGACGTTTTTACGTTATATCTGTTATATTAA